GAAAAAGAGCTGTTCTGCACATATTTTCAGAAGCCAGGGTACCAGATTATATAGAAAACACATTCCCCTCTGTTCTCCAATACCATGTGTTCTGTAATTAGATTTTTTTACTGGTATTTACTGCCATCACTGGTATCAAAATCAGTGAACTGATTTTTGCAAATGGGCCATAGTGAGAATAGCATTTGGTACTCATGTGCCTTTTGGCCTTCAGAGTCTTACCCTTATTTTTCACCATTAAATTCACTTTTTGTGTAGAAAAAAATAATCTGTGGCATGTGTAAGTGATGTGTTTATCTTTCTTGCATTGCTAGTCACCTGTTTATCTTTCTCCATACCTTTTTTGTCTATCTGTCTTTACTAAATGAACGTGAACATCAGCAGCAAAGCATGATAAAAATACATAAAACGTCTGTGAGGAGGTGCCGTTAATTTTTTGTGCTTTAAATACAATATCTGTATAAAAAACTGTTGTAACATTCAAAGCATGATAGCATAGCTTTACTCCAGACAAAGGAAAATTCAGCTTAAAATGGTTGTTTTTCTGAAGCTGCAAAAATGTTTTATTAGGGGACTGCGGAACACCTGCCTTAAAATGTCGTTCTCAACATCTCCCGAATGCCATTTTGCTTAATTGACTTGGAAATGGCCCAAATGTATTGCTGAATGCAGTCTAATTAATATTAATAATAAATGCCATTATTAACATCAAAGAACATCTGGTGCTCCTGTTTACTCTGAAGCCTTATATGTAACACATTTTGTGGCTGTTTCATCTTGCAAACATTGTGCAGTAAACAGTTTTTTGCCACACAGGTCACAACAAACCCCTGTCCAAGTACTGTATTATGCGTGATGCTCATTTTAAAAAATTTAACTGTTTTCTTTGGACCGCATTGGTTGCTGTGATACCAGGGAGGGTTAGAGGTCCCTTGTGTACACCATTCTAAAAAAAGTGCTTCTACTAGCATCTGTACATGGGCTACATTAGGGTTTTGCACAATAAATCAACCACTAAATATCTTTAATCTAAAATTTCATTAAGTAGTTCTTGTCAGGTAGTAAAAGCTGGATAATGCAGTGCTGTTTAATGATAATTGGTGTTTGGTTAATAAATTCTGCAAGTTCGAATTACTTTCTAGCAGTCTATAGAATGCTAGCCTCAGCAGTGTAACTAAACCTCAAATTGATTAACTTGCATGAACCAGGCGTTCACAAAGATGGCACCAGTCCAAATAAAAAAGAGAACAGCGCATCAGCCGGATGGTGTTATGTTGCTCTGGAGTAAGGAAATAAATCCCCTCAGGGTGCATTTTTAAAAGCTAATGCCTTTGAAATGATGTCATCACATTTTACTTGTTTTTTTTTTAAAAAGATTTCTTGCACATTTTCTTTGTACGTATACAAACCGAGGTCAGTGGATCGCACAACACGTGACACATTAAAATAATGGAGAGAAGTGTCTTGAGTTTTTATTTTTTTGTGATATCACAGTATCAAAACCACAGAACAATTTAGCTCGGAAGTGTGATTGCAGGGGCACCATTAAGGGAGATGTTTTTTTTTTCATCTTCAGCAATTAATGGAAACAGGGTGTGGCCGGTCTGTAATGGAGGAGCTTTCTGTTGCTTTTATTTTTGCGTTGCCATAGTAGGTAAATGTGTTGATGTATTATTATTATTATTATTATTATTATTATTATTATTATTATTATTATTATTATTATTATTATTATTAATTGTATTTTCTGCCACACAAACTGCATACTTACTATAAAATAGTCACACATATAAACCATTAACATAATATCTGTAAATGCAGTTATTTGAATTGCACCCGTACTAAATACAAGCAGACTTGCTTGGAGTATTCTTTAATATCTGCAGGAGAATGAAAGGTTTTTATTGTGTCACTCCAGTGCTTACTCTCAGTGGCACGGCTCTGATATGCTAGACAGCCAGGGTGACTGATGTTTATCTTTTTCCCAGATGGCTTGTATGACTTTAGTAGAATTTGATCTTTATTCTTTGTTCTGTAATGTTACATTACATTTGGGTAAGCCCATAAAAAAAGAGGAGCTTACAATGTTTATTTCACTTTATTAAAAACAAGAATAATTTCTAGCTTAATAAAATGTGAGCATATATTTTATGCACAATCCTTGAATCTTGTTTGTCCAGTCCATAAGTGATATTAACTACTGGGGAAACTGCTGTAGATATTGAGTGTCCCACAGAACTATGGAAACAGGGAGTACAAATGAAGATTATTATTAAAATCCATATCAAGTTTCTTATTTAATTAAAGTAACCTGCAGCTGACCAGATCATCAAAGGTTTATCCGTGATAAAATTCAAACCCATACCCCTTTTGCACATAGGAAGCTTTGAAATACATCCTGTTACAAAGATCTAGGGGAGTAAGGCCAGGCAGGGTACAGTACTTCTTTTTCAGTTTATGCAGGCTAAGAGTGCATTTTTTAAAACAGAAGCTTTCATAGTGAAAATAATTTGAATGCCGTGTCCCACAGATATTTCCTTGAATAAAAAAGACACAAAAAATCAATATGTAGAAAATAGTTATAGGTAGTGGGTTATCATGTATCTCTCTCTTCCAGTCACTTCCCTAAAAGACTATGTATAATGTATGATGTGACCTTCAAATGTCATAAATGTGTTGTGCAATAAACTGTCAATATTTGTGGTTATAAGGTACTAGATGACTTTTACAATAATTGGAACAGCCATATTAAAAGCCTGGATCAGTCAGCTGATTAAAGACAAAGACATGGGCCAGCATTCACTAGGGACTTTTTTCCTGCCAGTTACTAAATGAAAAGATATTGCGAGGTGTTTTTGGTTGCTGTGTCCAAAAATACAAAAGTCTGGTTACACAGACTGCTGAGAAGAATATCAATGTATTTAAAGTGATTCCAGAGAGAGACACCGACAGTTTCTAAATTCTCTGTGCAATTTGCTACCTCTGATTACAGTGATGAAAGATATTTGAAGAGGGTAACTCACCTCTATTGATTTTAGGTGCAATGAGTAAAAAATAACGTGAGTGGAGTCAGTCGCAACATCTCACCTTCTGCTTCTGTTTTGTTTCGAGTTCTTAAAATAAAATAAAAAATCTAAGAGCACTGCAAGAAACCTTTGATTCTCTGAAAATAGTTGCCTAAGTGGGTTGCTCCAATCAGAAGCATTTCCCCGCATAGTACTGTGTATCATGTGCTGCTGAAATTTTAACCTTATTTGTGTTTTTCCATGTCATGCGCTGTTTGACTTGCAACGCAGGCCATGGATTGCTGCCAGTAATTGTGCTTTTTCAGAAGGAATGGAGAAACAGTTTTACAGTATTTTCACGTACCTCAGACTGCAATTACATGTTTTGGTGGGACAAAATGTCACTTCTTTGGTGTGATGCTCGTACACATGGCTTAAAAATCTGGGGTCTAATGAGTATGTGGGCCTTTAGTGAAATTTACAATGAAAGTAAAAAGATTAAGCAGTGGCTTTCAGAAAATGTCATGTTTGAACTGTTTGAACTGTAGGTAAACTCACCACACTATGCAATACACTCAAGTTTGTGGTCAGGTTTGTTTGACCTGAAGTGGAGCTACTAACTTACTATCGCCAGAATATGCCTTTACATTCCATTTCCATATTCTTCCATTAAACCTCTAGAATTATATAAGTGTTTTCATTGTTTTAAATGTGACACACTGTATGGATATTTTGATAGGATGGCACGAGATTACAATAGTTAGCATTGCTTCTTTGTAGCACTGGGGTAGTTCCAGACCTGGGGTGCTGTAGGCATGGCATGGAGTTTGTATGTTCTCCTTGTGTGAGTTTTCTCATGGTGCTCCTGTTATCCCACGGCTCAGAAACATACTGATAAGGGAATTGGCTTCTGGGAAGTTGACCCTAGTGTGAGAATATGTGTGTATCTGCCATGCGATAGACTGGTGTCCTGTCCAGGGTGTATCCCACCAGACGTTCATGGATTGCCAAGATAGAGTAGGCCATGGCCCCCTGCGATCCTGATTTGGATAAAACTGTTAAATTAATGGATGCTTCGGTAAATATGAAAAAAAAAATTCAGAAGTTATAACTAACATTTGGAAACCTAAATTAAAAGTGACATTATCTTACAGGTTATTTACAAACAAAAAAGAGAAATATCATAAGTGACATATCAAACACAGAAATATCAAACATTTCAAGCCCATAAATCACTACCTTAATTTCTTTATCTCCTGTGTTTGAAAGACATGGTTACCCAACATGAAATTTTCTGTGCCAAAAAAATGAAACAACATTAAAATGTCTTCGCCTTTGTTCAGTTATTATAATTATAAAACACTGCAGTTTTCTGGTTTGCAAAATGAGAAAGCAGTTGTCTAATGAATAAAGGTTAATGTTATCTAATTTAAATTATTGATTGATAATGCTCTTAACTATCCATAATATGTAATTCAAAATTAAAATAAAAGCTTTTGCCATAATACTGTGACTTTATTTTTCTTATTTTTGTTCCTGTTGCATAAATAAATATAAATACATTGAACTCAAAATCTCTATTTAAGGTGCTGCTCTGCCCCACATCCACACTACCCTAAATAACTTATAATTCACTGAGGCCAGGGCCTCTGGTCCCGACTCTTTGTTTTTAGCAGAAGAAACGTTACAGATCAAAGTCCTTGACTCCAACAAATAAGAACCATTGCTGACATCGTTGTTTCTTTTCTTGTATTGTTCATTTCAATACAATCCACCATATGCTACCAGAAGATGATGATAGCAAGGATAAAAGAACTGGTTGGGGAGGGGGAGAAAAAAAACTGAAAGCTTATGAATTGTCAGCATTCTGTCAGGTTGAAATGGGGAAAAATAGCTGCACTATTGATGTGTTTGACTTTGTGTAGTGTTAGCAGATTTAGTGAAAACAGTTTCTGACAAGTGCTGAAGTGACGTGAGACCTTGTCTGTGTTATAGATGCTGGGGAAGAAGTAGCAAAACCAATGGGAGTCCAGCAGCCTTCCCTTGTGAGAGACAGGGGCCTGGGATCGGCAATGAAGGACTGTCCATACTGTGGAAAGACCTTCCGAACATCACATCACTTGAAGGTCCATCTGAGGATACACACAGGTATGGGTCCTCAGACTGTAAGATTTAAAATGCTATGCCCTGAGACCAAAATGCAAATATTTCAGCACATGCAGTACCAGGGGGTAATGGGAGAATCCTTGCCCGTTGCACAAGTGCCACTTTGACACCCTCATCTCACCGATGACCTCACCCCACCTTCACCCCTTGCTGAATCTCCTTCTGTTCTCATTTTTCTTCAAGATTAAATTGCAGATAAAGTCAATGTCAAGGGTGGAGATGATCTGCCTGGCAGAAATCAGTGAAGACATGTTCATTGCAAGAAAGGCAACTTATTTAGTTTTTTGTTAATGCTGATTTTTAGGGGGGAAACCCCCACCAAAAAAAAATAAACTCTCCAGGTGGTACCCCGTCCCACCCTCGGCCCAATATATCTTCCCTGCCAAGGTGGCAATCTCCTTCCTCTCTAGATACAGGACCCCAGAATTCCCCATCAGGTATCAATCAGTATTTAAGAGCACGATCAACAAGGCTATTGTGCTTCTCAGACAGTCTGCTCCCAGGCCCTTGAACCTGTGGAATAGAGAGCTCCACAGCTACAACATCAAGCAAGGAAAGAGCCCACTGACAGCGGGGAAGGGAATGGAGAGGCCATCAGAGATCAGGAACCATCTTCTTAGCAGCAGGCATGCTAGCCAGCCACATTTGCCTCTGTAGCCCAGAGAAATTTAGTGACCAGTTATCATTCAACAGAAGAACAAGGAATATTTTAGGGAACAGAGTTAAAGAGACCAGCCTTGAAAACAAAGCTGTCTCAGAACATTCCCATATTATGTTAAAATGTTTTTTTCTTATCTTTTTTTAATAATTTGAGCACAGCAGACTTCTTGTTTTGTTTCTTTATTGATGACATTAGAAATGTCCTATACCCCAGAACTCAATATTTAGCGCATAAAAAACACAAATTAAATAGCAGTGACATTGTATTACTTTGTATTAGGGATATCCCCTGCTGGGATAATAATAATTGCTTATGTTTATAGAGCTCTTTTCTGGACACTCAAAGCGCTTCACAGGTAAAGGGGACTCCCCTCCTCCACCACCAGTGTGCAGCCCCACCTGGATGATGCGATGGCAGCTAAGGTGCGCCAGAACGCTCCCCACACTTCAGCTGTCAGTGGGGAGGAGAGCAGAGTAATGAAGCGAATTCATAGATGGGGATTATTAGGAGGCCATGATTGGTAAGGGCCAATGGGAAATTTGGCCAGGACGCCGGGGTTACACCCCTAATTTTTTCGAGAAAAACGCCCTGGGATTTTTAATGACCACAAAGAGTCAGGATCTCGGTTTTAGGTCTCATCCGAAGGATTATGGGTGTAGTGTAATAATCAAAACAATGTGAATAGGTCAGTACTTTTCTTTCATCTGCACCTTAAGCTTAGAAGTACTTTCTGAGTAGCTTGTCACCTAAATCATGAACAAATCTCTATACAGTAGGTTCAGTTCAACCATAAAAACTGATAAAACCCTTTTGTGAATTGTATATGTTGCTGAGTAAAAACAGAGATCTGCACAATGTAGGATCACAGATATAGAAACAACAGTCTAAAGCATGCTGTGACAACATCCTATGATAAGCTCACTGAATAAAAAAAACTCCAAAGAGAACTGAAGCAAAGAATCAAGCAGTGCTTTATTTCAAAAGGTGAACAGTATACACGTAAAGATTCAAATGCTGCTTTAAATTTTTGGATACAGACAATAGGCACTTCTCAGAAATGCAAATCTGAAAAGGTAAAAATTGTAATAATCACATACAAAAGTGTAACACTCTTAAACACACACACACATAGGAATTTACCAGTCCAAACACTGCCATTGTATTGCTTACTAACATGGTTGTAAAATAAAATGTCAGATTAATGACTTCCAAAAATTTTGTTGAAAGGAATTAACTGAATTTAAATTTCTCTAAAAGTTAAAGAGCTAATGTTACAGTATTAATTTCCTCCCGAACACTGAGTGGGAAAATATCCATTAGTGAAATTAACTACAGTTTCTAGGTAGCTAACAATGTGCTGTATACAGTGGGGCACAGCTAATGAACACTGCAGTGGGTGATATTTCATTATACAAATTAATGCTCACATTTTAATGGGAAAGTCACATAATGAATCTAGGCTTCAGTGACAGCAATTAGAGACACAGATTGTCCCCTTCTGGACAAGACAGTATTTAGCAGTAAGCAGCTGTGTAAAAAAGTCTTCAGTTTTACATTGAACATGTATACTTTGGGAACATTAGCACACAATTTATATCTGTGCTTCAGAAATAGGAATATGTAGGATTGAGATGTGTGTAAGTCACGCATTCTGAACTACATAGCAAAACTAAACAAATACTGTATTACTAACTGGCTGTCAAAGAAAACTTTTACCATGTACAGTTTCAGTCAGGGAAAGTAATAGGATTACACTGAATTAGTCTCTAGCAAGTTGCTTGTTTCACAAAACGGCGGCGCCTTTGCTACATTCAATGTAGTTTTGCTCCATCTGAATAGTTTACAAACTGTCTTTCTTGATCATGTATAAATTATATGGAAATTCAACCTGAAGCATGCCATATCTATTAACTATTTTAATTGCAGTCCTGTGGTGCGCCATGGTGTTTATTAAAAGTGGTTTCTATGGAGCTGAAACAAATTGTATTGTCCCAGATGAGTCCAGATGAAAGCATTTAAACTGAGCTCCTGAAAGGGAATAAACACAATGGACTGAAACGATCACTAGTTATAAAATTACCTACATTTTTTGTTTCTTAAGAAGGATGTTTCTTTGTCTGAGATAAAAAAACAGCAAATCATAATAATTTTCTAACTTATTTCTCAAGGAAAGCACATGCACATGTGCAAAGAGTAAAGCTTAAATGTTCTTGTCTTTACTGTGGTAGTTTGCAGTGGGATTTTGTCTTGTGACTTAGCACCAGATGGTGACCAGACATCTTTTATGGTGCATTTAAAAAACATTATTATTAAAATTGGATTTCTCTTTAAAAAACAGTAAATATTAGTATTTGACATAAAACAATACTGGGCCTTCCTTTTTTTTTTGTTTCTTAACAGGCCATTAGCTTTCTCAGAGGTGTTCCTGTTTGTTAGGATTACAATTAAAAGTGTTACGGGTACATTTTGACCTTTAACAGTAAATTGTGTGTAATGTTGCACGGATGGATACTGTAAATTCCCAGATGCCACAAATGGCCCTGATGAATGATAAAACAGATGTCTTACTGGATCCAAATAGTCCACAAGGTACAGACCACACTCCAATAATCTAGATATTGATTACTCTTCAAGGTTTGTTTAAATTGGATGCATATTTTAAGGTATTGTCATCCCTTGTGGCAAATGAAACAATATTGCTGTACACTTTTTCAAAGTGAACATCAGATTGTTAGTAGAGAATTTCACTTGAATTTTACTCTAATGGTAACTAAAATTCAATTAAAGGAAATGAAAATGATCATTTACATCAGAGATTGTTACTATTAAATCAGCCCAGTCCACAGAGAGATTAGCACTTATTGGGTTAAAGCCCATATTACTTGGTTTATTTTAAATATAAGCCAAAATGCATTCTTGTTTAAAGCTTTGTCTCCAACTGGTTCCCTGATATTAATATTTTATTGAATTTGTATTTGTAGACCTTTATTTAGGAACAATGCAGTAGGTCTGCAGATCTTTGAATCTTTCTGGAATGGTGCCCTCCAAATAATGATAAATTACTTGAGCAGTATGCCATTTGCTAATTATATCCATGATTTACTGCAGAGCAAGACTTAAATCATTCAATTCAGTCTTGCGTAACAATGCTGAATTTTTTTAGGTTTAAAAATGGTTTCCATGTGTATAATCTAAACAAATTTTATAGCTATATATACACACAGTACTTAACAAACATCCCTTTATTTTACATTCAGGTCCCACCCCATCAGCTGCTGTGTTTGTCTGAATGTTCATTCTAGAAACTTTCCTACATTTTAAAATCAAGCATTTCATTTTGTTTATTTTTATTGATTGCAAAGCTGGCTTTAATTATGTGTGTTGTAATTACAAGTGGGATTTTTTGGTATATTAGGCTACAGTGTGTACTTTTTCACATAGTGTGCTTTAAAATTTCTATTTTATTATACATGTAGTCTTTTTGATGTGTAACAGCGATTACCCACTGGAGAGCACTGTTTGCTATGGAAAAATACAATCTGACACTGGCTAAAATTATGGGACTTGGTCTGTCTCCCGTATGGTCCGTGTGTACGTGTCTGTGCCTGTTTATTTCAGTTGAAGTTTTCATCACAACGTTTTTTCATCAACAGTTAAAATTGTATTCTTCTGGGAATGTATAGCTTCTGTAGGCTGTGATTTATGTTGACCGTGATAAACTGCAAATAGAGATTGTCCAAGAAAATACTGCCTCTTTGCCAAGGCAGTGTCTGACAGTGAACAAGGCCAAGAGAGGACCTCCTAGCATTCACCGATGCAAACAGTGGTAATATTAGGACAACATTAGTTTTGTTATCTATTAAAAAGTATTGTCTGCTTTAGGGGTTTTGAAACTACCATATGCTTAGTGGATTTTATTGTGTTGTCAAGACTACTAACTTAATTTTAAGATGAAAAACCTAATTTGACTAACTCTGCATTTCTGAATGAACTACTGGACAAAATGGTTTTGAAATGTCAAAGTCTTGTCACTAACTTAGCTTTAAAATGTTAGTTCGGGAACCTTTTTTCACAACACTTTGTTTTTTCTTTTCTTCCGTCACAGGTGAGAAACCGTACAAGTGCCCACATTGTGACTATGCAGGCACACAGTCGGCATCCCTGAAATATCACCTGGAACGTCACCACAGGGAACAGCAGAATGGAGGGGGGCCCATGTCAGGCCACTCCCAAGAACATAAGGAAGATCATTCGAACGCCAAGGGCAGCATGTTTATCAGACCTGACATCCTCAGAGGAGTCTTCAAAGGAGTGCCGAGTACTGATTTCAGAGGAGGGCAGCTGCTTCCCCATCAGTGGGCATCAGGGATGATCTCTGCAAGAGAACGTCATGGACAGTGCGCTAGTGTGGCCTCTGAAAATTCCTTGGAAAATCTCAAAAGCTCTGAGGCATCTGGGGAAGGCACACCCAGCTTCTCTGACCTGGGGAGAGCCTACCAGAGCATGGTAGGCAACGGTGTCAACTTTCAAGGTTCCCTACAGGCTTTCATGGACAATTTTGTTCAGAGTTCCTTGAAAAAAGAGAAGGAAATGAGAGAAAAGCCTTTCAGTGAAAGCATAGAAACAAAAGCCAAGAGAGGCGAGAACAGCGTGGAGAAAGCAGATGCCAAGCCTTCTGAAGGCAAACCTGAGAAATCTCAGTATGAACCACTCGATCTATCTGTCAGGCCAGATTCTGCTTCGCTGCCAGGCTCATCTGTTACAATCCAAGACAATGTCGCCTGGCACGGCTGCCTTTTCTGCTCATTCACAACTTCATCCATGGAGCTGATGGCACTCCATTTACAGGCCAACCACCTCGGAAAAGCAAAACGTAAGGAAAGCATCTTGGACATGAAAGGGATAAGCAAGGAACAAACAGGGGAGTTGGCCTCACTAAATAAAGCTAGTCTGGGTACCAGTGCTAGTCACCTTGGCAAAGAGGCAATTTCCTCTAAGCAATCCCCACATATAGATAAGATGACCCAGCAGGAGACAGTCAAAGAGACTTTGGGAGAACAGAAGAGCTCAACTTGGCCAAATCACATGGATGCTAATGTGAGCAGCGTTCAGAATGATTTCTTCAAGCAGTTTAGAATTTACGCAACTTCAGGTGGATCAGGAACCCAAAGCTCTAGCAACACCAGTCAGGAAGCTGAGCAAAACATTCAACCTGCTGACAGCATAAATCTGAAGTCGGCAAGCCTTACTAACAGAGGCACCACTGATGAACTTTCAGATAAAGTCTCCAGCAGTGAGATGGAGGCTTCAGAGGAGCACGAGCAGCTGGAAGATGATGGCAGACCTGCTGAACATAGTGATGACTCCCCTAATGAAAAACTGGAAAGTGATGAGGATGAGGAAGAGGAGGAGGAAGAGGAGGAGGAGGATGGAAGCAGGGATCTGATGCAAAGTGGCATTCCAGTGAAGGACTCACAGGGGCTTGTGCCCACCATGCCACAACTGCTGGAGAAACAGTGGCAGGGCTTGAATCTTCTTTCATCTCAAGGAGTTCCCCCAGGGGTGATGAAACCGGAACATGCCCATCTTGAGCAGCAGATGAACATGCTGTCTGTCCTGAGGGCCTACAGCACAGAGAACCTAGCGGCATTCAATGGCCTTGGAAACAGCTCAAACAACACCAGTGGCATCAAGAGACCAGACATGCCTGGTAAGTACTGTGGCATGCTTTTGATCCTATAGCACACATATCTGCACTATCACTCCCATTGTTCACAGCAGATAAAGCAGATGTGCTTAAAGTTATTTCAACCTTATTTCAAGCAAGTTTAGACGCTATTCACTTGCAAGGAGCATCAGATTAATCTTTATTACTAGTTTATATTACTGCAGTTTTGGTTTCCCTGGATGGAGGCGAATAATCCTATCTCCCAAACAGGATCTCAGCTCCAATGTCTTCTCAAGCACCGTATTTAACTATCTTAGGTTTCATAAAGCTCAGTCCCTAAAGCCCATTACTCTATAATACCGAAAGATGTATGACCCTGTGAAAAATGAACTGTCATTTTTCATGATTCTTTTAAGGTTATAGGAGCTCCTTGAAAACCAATGTTTCTGAGTGCTCTTTTTGAGTTTTGGTAATAAAAAAAGAACAAACCCACAAAATATAGTATACAGTATGTAGTATAATTCAGTGAGAGAAGCCAGGAAGAGATTGTAAAAGGTAAGTGAGAAGCCACAAATGTTGGTTTGTTCATTTTTTTACTGAAATAAATACTTGCCCATTATTTCTTAATACTTAGATTAATTTATTTTTATCACTTACCTTATATTAAGTTAAAATTGACTGTATTTAGCATCTGAAAATAAATTTGATCACACTTCTTATTTTTGTGGATGATTAATTATGAAATGCAATAATATAGATATAATGATATATTACTGTGATATAATAATGGGTTTCTATGTCCAGACATTTTTATTCTTAGAAATACTGACAATAATTTAATAGATATATAAAGGTGAACAGTGCAATGTTAAGCACATTTTCTGTTTCACAATAAGTAGTGTTGCAACTTACATTTTTATATAGCATGATCTGTAGACCTTTTTGTAAACATTTATTTGGGACAAAACCCTACTGTATGTTACCAAGAAATGTAGTGTTGGGTTATATTATAGTTAGCTATCTTGTTATTCATTAGCAAATTAAAATTTAATATTATTATCAGAGGATATTGCTAGGTCGGGGTTTAACAATGTATATTTTATCACGCGGTTTGAAACGGAACAATAAATATTATACTTTAGGATTTCAGGGCTCACGTTAGCTGTGGAACTACAGAAACTATATGTGGTAATTGTAGCTTCAGCAATAAGTACCGTATTATATATCCAAAACACAAGCGTCATTCTTGCCTGGAGAGGTGATTTTTGAGTTGTGGTACTTTTTATTGGTATTATTCTGAGACAAATTCATTTACAATTTAAGTCCCGTAGGCATTTCCAAAATTGCATCATATTAAGTACACAATAAAATATTTGATCATACAAAAAAATCCTCTGGGCATTTATTGGTAATATATTGCCTTTTATTTCAGGTTGAGAGTGCAGAATTGTTGCCTTTGTCTCAACCCTAATAACTAGTCCATCAATATCTAGTAGAACTGTGAAATTCAGTGCCACATACTTGTGACTATTGACATGAGAGGTTGATCAGTAACATTCAGCAAAATCTGAATGTTGAAAGGAGACTCTTTTAAATTAAAAGCAGAACACATGCTGAAAACACTACGTAAGGAATCAGTTATTGCAGTGTTCACTTGGAGTTTTATTTAAATCTCATTGTCAAACTTTAATCATCAATTAGTGAAATTCTAAACATAATTAGTCATAAATTGTCATAAACTGAGAGCCACTAGTTGACTGTATGGTCTGTTTTTGGGAGTAGAGTCAGACTGTAATGGAAAAAGCAAAGATTGCAGTAAACTTGTTTACGACCAATGTCAAAATAGTTTACATTAACAATTGATGTTGCTTTTGACCTTTAGAATATGGAATGTGTGAGTAGTGTAGTGGAACCTGTTGCATTTTTAATATTGTGAGTGGGGTCATTCCTAGTTACATGCGAAAATAAGCACTCCTATTTCTCCTCAACCAGATACTTGAAATGCTAATAACTTACTTACACATTGAAATGTCCTTGCTAAAAAAAAAGTGTTTTTAACAGCAATGAAAGGATCTGAAACTTTTGTTTGTCAGGATGTCTTTAAAGACTTTGGAAATTAAATTAAATGGTATGCAGTTCATTTTGTTTTAATTGTTTTGTGGCTAGTATTAATCAGACTCTGGGTGTACATTATATCATGTATAGCAGGTAAAATGTAACGATTAAATCCATCTAAGGGATGATCAGTTATTTATTTAGTCAACAAAATGCCGTAAATCTCGTAAAACAATCAAGTGTAAGGTGATGATATAAGATATTTATTTTCACTTCACACAGTCAGTCCAGGACATCATGGAAACACAATAATTAGCATCGCAATGGGGCTATGGGTTCAATTCCCATGGTGCTATGGTGCTATTTGTACTGAGTCTGTATGTTCTCCCCATGTTCATATGGGTTTCTTCCAGCTGCTCTGGTATCCTCCCACAGTCCAGAAACATACTTGTAAGTTCATTGGCTTTTGAGAAAACTGGCCCTGGTATGAGTGTGAGCCTGTGTTTGTGTCTGTGTGTTTGTCATGTGATGGACTGGCGTCCCGGGACGTCCAGGGTGTATCCTGCTATGTATCCATTGCTTCCCGGGATAGGCTCTGGCTCCCCTGTGATCCGAACTGGAAGAAGTGGTTAAAAATGGATGGATGGATAGGCAGCCCATTTGGAATTGAGCACGAGTATTTCTCTTCTTCAAGTGGAATTGATTTTTGTCATGTTTACGACAAACTTTCAGTGAAGACAAGGGACTCAGAGACAGATGGGAATGTTAATCGTGTCGATTATTCTGTCAGCATACTTTATTTAAAAAAAGTTGTGTTGCAGGGAAACGATTTTAAAATCCTTTCAGCAATACTTGTATTTCATATTTAGAAAATCTACTGTCTTGCTACAGTAAAGAGACAGGGGCGAAGATGTAAATTCTTGTTCGATCTTTGCTAAAGAGTCACTGTTCAAAGCAAATCTCTACTGGGGCTGCCCCCACTTTAACAGGAGTCAGTAATGGTGATAACTTATTGATATGGAGTTCCTTTAACTGCAAAGGTGAACATGGTCTGTTAAACACTTAGGGTGGCCAGGTGGAAGCCAGCCAAACCAGATTTTCCCTTCAGGGTTCAGTCACTTGGCAACATCTGCTAAATAGGTACCTCAGATAAAAAAAAGCGCCTGAATCTTGGTGGAAGTGGAGAGTTCTAGTTGATTGGTATATATGAAGGGCTTCTTCATACAGCGCTTTATGTACAGTATGTAAATATAAGAAATCTTTTTAAAGATGTCTGGACTTGACAAATCACTTTTCTAAACTTCAGACACTGACTATAAAAAGAAAATAATTCAGATGGGAATTTAACATCTATGGCTGCTGTAAAAAAAAGCCTTGTACACGTCAAACACAGGAAACAAAACATGGCTTCTGCACATCTGGTAAATTAATAGATAAAAGCAACAGAGACTCTCTCTTAAATGGCATATTCTGAAACCACAAAATCATAATTTTCTAATAGAATGATCACCTATAGGAATCCATTCGAAATGTATTCTTGATCGTTTCAGAAGACACGTGCTCTCCGAAAATTCAATTCAGAACTTGCGAAATACGATTATCTGAAGTGCTTCGCATTAGGTTTGTATGCAAATAACGCATAAATCATTAATATCTCTAAATTCTCTCATGAATTTGTACTAGTGAGCATCTGGGCTGCCGGAGAAGCTTTTTAAAGTGCTTCACTTCATTAGCATGCTTAGAAGTAGGGGAGGACATTTACACAGGTCCAAACACTTAAGTTCCTCTGCTTAGAGTGTGATAGGCAAACTAACGATTCAAGACACTATTAGAACAATATCATGCCTCCTACAGGTAAGGCAATTGGCAACAAGAGCATGACAGAAAGAAATTAAGAAATTAGAGGCAGAAAAATATTTTTTTTACAGAAAACAGCATTTAACCTCAGGGACTTTGTTGTCATTATTATTATTACCCATAATATTTAATTTGTGAGTGTTTGTCTTGGGTATTCAAATTAAGCAGATTTTGCCAATCTCAAAGCTCATAGAGAGTGTTCAGATGAAGAGCTTGAAACAAGTGAAGAGCATACATTTGTTTAATGAAAAGTATAAATCATTGCAAAGCAGACTCCATATAATGTTTTGGCTGCACACATCTATTGTACGGTGATGACTTTGAGGCTTCTGTCAGACTAGTGCATCCCATTATCTATGTTAATAAAACACAATAACAAAATTATGAATTGCAAAACATCAGTAAGTCTAACAGAAGAAATGAGTATTCAGTAAATTAGCAATCATCCTGCAATGTGAGATCTAGAGTATTGCATACTTTTAAATAATATGTTAGTTTTCTCATTCTCTACCAACTTTATATTGCCTTCTTCATTGTAACGACCACGAGTCAAGTGAACTCAAGAACAGCTGTTTCTAGCTACTGTTCAGTGTATTCCTTGGGCAAAACAGGCCAATTGAAGAGGTCTCACTGTTATAGGAGAAGTGTACATTCATATTCTGGCACTTAAAAACACATTTGAAGTGAAGTACCTCTTTGGAAGAGTTGCTTCCACAGTCTCCACTTTCATCTTTCGTATATGAAACTACTTTCTTGATGCACATCTTTGTACTGGCACATTGTTTTCAGATTTTGCTGACACTCATGCGCTGACAAAAAAGCACTTCTGTAAGGTACTGTATTCTTAAGAATATGTGTCAGAGTACTGTAAATGACAAGGCTTCACCATAATACCTTATCAACTGACAAATTGCAAGGTGCTGTGCTACTTTTCTTTTATATTTACCTCCATACTGTATTTTTTTAGAGTAGCACGGAGTTTGAGGAGAAGAAACACTGCAGAATCATGTAGTGTAAACAACTCACAAGATAAGCAACAAGTACAAACTATGCAATATTGTGTATGCATAATGTATTATCCTCTTCAATTTAGAAGGGCCTCCATCTCCAGCAGTATCTAAGATTCAGAT